GGAACACAGAATGATATTTTAATTATTTTAATTATCTTATTTAAATACATTGTGATTTGACGGAATAACCAAATAATTTAATTTTAATTTAATAAGTCACAATATGGCGCAACTACACTATCTTACGATATTTAATTGTTTATGCATGAAGAATCTTAATAAACTAATACGTATTCTTGAGCATTTTCCTTTGTCTTAGTTCGGCTAACACTACATAATTCTTTTGAACCAATTCACTCAGCGTACGACTGGATTATCCGTGATAATTGTATCTTACGTTCTATTTGTACACATGAGCGTTCAAATTTGTGGTGGATGTTCATTCCCTCTGATCCATCATCGATTTCTCTCTCTCTCTCTGGTGTGTGTGTGTCCTTTCCAACTGCTGACTCTTGGCATGGAGCTGTGCCAACAAACCAGCCACCCAAGCCTTCTGCAATAGTCATTATCCAGTAGCAGTATTGCTGTATGTGTTCTGAAACATTGGAGTGTTGTACGAGTCTCAGTCCTCATGTCTGTAACCCTTAACAGCCTAGTGGTAACTATATGTACCGCGTGTTTTAATAGCAAGTAACTCTGCAATGTGTCCACGAAGTTTATTAATGGGTTTGGTATGATTCTGACCGTCAACAGCTACTATTTCCGTAAACAGCATTAACAAGTTTATCCTTGTAATGAAGAAATATGGTGTTTTCTTTGCGGTGCGGACTTGATTTATAAATATTAGTTATATGAGCTTTACTACACATAGGGACTGCCGTTAGAGTTCGCGTGCTTAGCTGCTGGTCTACTGGATAGAAGTAAGTGGATGACTGGATCAAGGTTTTCCGTGATTTTCCTCTGTCCTGGAGCAAATTCCGAGTTAGTCCTACATTCTACGCTGAACTGCGTGGCTGTTATGTAACACTTTAATTATTAACATAAAAATGTCTCCCTAAAATAGCCGTATATCTTGTTTCCGAAACGTCGAGGCTAATTTCGATTAAGTTTGCAGCAAACTAATTTAGTCGAGCCATAACTCAGGCAGCTAGACAGTGGCTTCTCGCCGCGGATACCGGGGGTCAATCAAGTGAGATTCGTGGACGAAATTTCTCCGAGTTCATTCGACAATCGCTCCATACCCAACTGTCGTCGCCCCACGAGATGTGCGACAGCCCTGATCAAGAAGCCCGTTGTCACACCCACGGTCCAAAGTTAGAGGCTTTGACTCTGACGTGGTATTTGTCTGGTCTCGAAATAAAAAGTAATTTAGTTTGATAAACGCTGAAGATAAAATAGTTGTTTTTAGTTTGATTGTTATCTGTCCGGTATGAAAAAGAAACCCCAGTGTTTGTTGGATACGCAAGTGGTTTGGACTCCAGCAGTCTGTGAAGTTTTCTCATCGCTTTAACGCGGCTCTGAGTCGCGTGGTAGTCGTACATAAATATCAAAATAAAGGTTTCCCTTTCAAACATTCCCTGGCTGTCTGATAAACAAATTACGAATGCTCACTTCCTTCAGGATCCAATAGAGTTCTAAGCCGATGTGATTAATTTACTGTCAAGCCTGAAATATGTATCACAGCTTCTAGTTGCATGAAGCCATAGTAACACCCATTAGAAAAGAGACTGTGAAAGACTAACACGGTGAATGGATGAACTGAAAAAGAAAGAAAAATGTAGGAAACTAACTTCTGAACAGATCTCAGAAGCAATTTCCTCTTTTTCCTAGCCACGCGAAGCGCCAGCGTGGCTGTTCAAGACTACAGGCTGGTTCAAAAGTTAAGACAGCATAACGTAATGCTCACTTCATGAAGCAGGGTCCTAGTTATGCAGCTGAGAGTCGCTCAGCTAGCCAAATAATACCTCGCCGTTTATATAAGACTCATTACCGTGTTCACAGGTACTGAGGATTAATGTCAAAAACCTGGTGGATTTGGGAGGGCTTTCGGGTTTTATTCTGATGGGCTGTAATGCCGAGGACTTGTGGGTAGATTACCAACGTTTCGGAAAATGGAGCCAGCGCGTTTCACCGGAAGGTTGGTAATTTAAGTCTACACAGCGTTACAACCCAGAATACCAACATCAACATCTTAACCACTGTGGGAGCCTCTGATCTAATGGGCATGGTTGGTTTTAATAAAAGCAGCCTCGGTTCCTTAATGATTACTTAGTGCAGCTTAGGGCGGCGGGAAATTAAAAGTACCCCCAGCACAGCCCTCTGCATCGTACAGCAGTGATCATAAATATGTCAACACGTTTCATAGCAGCAGTGCACTAAGATTGCTTGGCGCTTATGTCGGTATAGTATTTAATTTGAAAGGTCTTTGTATTAAATAGTGGTCTGTGGTTTAAATTTAAGAGGTCAAAACATGTCGTCTTTGCTTCTTTTTGCAGATGGTGCCACAGTCGAGGATTGGACTTGAGACACTTCCAGGATGTTCTCTCCTTTTTACTACGACAACGTTGCACCAGGGTCCACAGTTCATTCCCAGACATATATTCCTCCTGGTGTCATGACGTCGCTAAGCGAGCGGTAACCATTAGCCACCCATATTACTCAGGGAACATCCTAGCAACGTGAATATGACTGTACTGTAACCAGAGACAATGGGGTGTCTGAGTTGCCAAGAAACATGCTTTGCCTTGTCTGCAAGTCAGTGATGTAAGTACTGATTAACGACACGCCTTCCCCCTCTCCGGGAGCGGTCCAAGTTTTTGAAGCTAAAGATTTTGCTTCACCGAATTTCAAGTTTTTGATCATAAGAAGGACAAAGTTTACGGGAGAAATGTCTGCTCAGTAACAAATGCTCATCTGAACGCGATTTTCAGCGGAAGTTCGTGTAATTTAGTTTCTTAAATACGTGTGTAGAAACCATCTCAAAGCCCTATTACAATTATGGTATATTTATATACGAAATTGAACTGATTTAAGCGTAAATGTCTTGTTACGTTGTCCTTACTGTATTGCCATATTCCCTGATGGACTCTAGTGGTAACGTCGTGTGACTCTAGATATTTTTTGGTGCACGGGAAACATTATCGAAATTTAAAAATATTCTTCAATAATTTCGAGTATTATACGACTCTTTGTATACGATAATAAGCTTATTCTCGAATCTTGAATACAGAACATGAATATTTCGAAGATCATATGACTCATGATGGCGAAACACCGTGGATTTAATGTAGAATTCGTTATTTCAGTAGTAGAATTATTCTTTATAAATGTGCTCAAGTGAATTTCTTATTAACTATGTCTCATATTTGTAATGTATTTATTCACCGTGACCAATCGCATTTCAGCGTTCAGTGTTGCTCTTAAATTATGTGAATTCGGCTGCTGTTGATAATGGTTTCTGATTATGTTCCGCTGTTAGAACTTACGAAGACATTCAGTTAACTACTGTGTCGTCAGGTTTGTAAACCTGACAGATGCTTCTTTTTTTTCTTTCGAATGATGTCATATCCATCCGCAGTTCGCGTGAGTGGCTCAACTGATGGACGACCAAGTACAGTGAAGGCTTTTGTGATGACGTAGCACAAACGCCGACGAAAATTAGCGCATCTTCTGTGTCTGTGGTAATGGTGGGTAATGAATCTTTCATATACGAATAGACATTTCTGTAGGCTGTATTCGCGGTGTTTCTTATCAGAAGGCAAACCCTCCGAAAGAGTGACTGTTGTTGAAGAGGTGTGCTGGCATTATGCCCCGGGGTTCAAGCCCCCCTCCACTCCCTGCTGCCGCCGCTAACCACCCCCATAACACTCACCTGGAAGTGGCTATTACATTTCTGTGGATGTTAACCCCGCTGTCTTCCACCTTATCACTTGTCATCGTGTGCGTCGCCATGACAACAAACCAGTGGTTACATACGGAGGAAAAGATGAACAACCCCAACTACAACGGCACTGGAGAGAGAGATTACTTGTCAAAGTTCACTGTATCCGGACTCTGGACCCTCTGCGACACCATTCGTAAGTACACGCACATGTAATTTATTTTACAACTTTGACGCTTAACCATTGGCTTGTGACGATGTCAGGTCGACGGGTGCATTTAGATTTCTGTTTTTTTACAGACATTTTCAGAGATAAATTCTAAATCCTTTATGTGTATCCCAAAGACTGATAGGGCCTCCTTAGCCAGATTGGTCGAGGGGGAGAGGTCAGACTAAGACAGGTACCCTGGTCCTCCAGGTTGGGGGTTGGACGCAAGGCTAACAACCTTGCACCGTAAATAGGAAGATGTTTCGAAACCTCAACCTCGGACAGACGTAACAGAAGGACCGAATGGAAGAGGAGAATTGAGGAGGCCATGGACCGAATACGGACCGGAGAGCCATACAAGAAGAAGAAGAACACCATCTTATAAACGTTGAAAGCGCATCGTATGTTGAAGCTAATAGCGTTATTTAGTGTATAATGTTTTGTGTTAAGTGTACTGTTTCAAAAGTTTTCTTTCAGTTTTTGTTTCTGTTACGTGTATCGTGTTTGTGTTTCTTTGTTTTTGTTCTGTACGCACAGAGTTCTGTTGCTCTGTGTCACTACCCATGCCTACTACAATTCAGAGCTAGTTCAAGTGCAAAACGTTCAGTGCTTTCGGCAAGCATCGACGCTCATTGAACTTAATTACGAAAGTTCTGACCATTACGTATTCTGCGCAGTAGATAGTTGATAACTATGTATCATGTGACAACATCCATTCAGTGAGAGGATATTTTTTTTAGGTGAGGCGGATTAATTTAAACTCTGATCAAATTAAACAAAATCACGTATTGTACGTCAATTCCTTTCAGACCTTTATAAATATTATGACCAGTATCTTTGAACCTTTTTTAAGTTCTGTCTTTCTTGTGTTCAGAATATTAATATTGTTTTTCGGAGAATTAATATATGCTGATATTTGGAGAGGGCATCATTTAATGTATACATATAGAAAGCGAGTGGCTTCACAGTCTTTTTGGCAGATGAAATAAAAAAAAGGGGGAGGGAAGAAGGAATATGATTTCCCATGGCGCTACCAAAATTCCCAAGAGCTTCCGAGGCCTAAACTCTGTATGCATGTGTGTTACCCGGTAAACATTGGTGAGTGGAGGACAGAAGTTGCAGTGGGTAAAGTCAACATTCTTCTCTCGTCGCCCGAATCAACTTCACTTTGCTGACCAGAAGGGGAGGGTGGTAGGTCCACAGACAGAATATCGAAAGACGTTTCCACGTTGCTGTGTTCGGAACCGGTAGGGAAGGAGATCTGTGGCGTAGTCCCAGGAAATATCCAAAAAAGCGTAAAGAGCTAGGAGAAGAAAGTGGAAGAAAGTGGAAGGAAACGTTTTAAGTAACACCGATAAAACAGTTCTTCGTTTTGATGGTCTGACGTAAAGAACTATATTCTCTCTGAGTCACTTTCACAAATAATAATACAAAACTAACTTGTGAAGCATAGCCCTTCTTGAGAAGCTGAGCTCGGTTAGTTAATAAATTCCCTGCATTTTATAAACTCCGTAAGTTCATTACCTCGATCACAAAAGACCATCACCGGTCTCTGTCGTGAGCCAGATAAATCCAATACACACCGTCCATCCCTATTTATTTAATATCCATTTTACTACCATCCTCTCGCCTATTCTGGCTAGATGTTCCAATCACAAAGCCTTGTTCAAAGAGCATGCACCCCCTCATAGTTGGTCCATTTCTTTGAAAGCCTTTCTTCAAATTTTCCGTCTAAACTTGGATGCTTCGGTGATATCCTATGCGTGTTACGTCCCCCACCAATCTCACCCTTCCTCATTTTTATCGCCCTGATAATATTTGGCGAAGAGTAGAAACAACAAACTATCATAAAGCTTTACATTATGAATTTCCTTCCGCCATCATATATCCAGATACATTCTTTATATTTTATCTTAATGTGGGAATTCTAAAGACGACGTTATTATGAATAAAACAACTCAGACTATAGTTTCTACTTCAAGATCCTGGGTCTATAGATTGTCACATTAGCAGTGCGCTCCGGGAAAAGATCTCCATTAACATTTAGTGTGCAAAGTAGCTCCATTTAGATTTTGCTCTGTATTACGCTCATAAATTTTTTCCTGCGCCATGAAATATTTAGAAGTGGATGTTGAGAATTTGATATGAGATGAAGCTGCTATTGCCCAGCCGGTTCTGCTGTTTCAAAGAGCCTGCCTTACTCGGGGGTAATAATGTTTTTAAGGGGGTGCTACGGCCATCCACGAGGGGTGGTCTCCTACAGCTTCGGGCTGTACCGGAGTAAAACCTATTTGGGGGAAGAGCTTTTCATTTGCTCGTATCTGAAAGTAGAGGCAGACAGTTGATTCTACACGCCGGACAAATGGCTGACTGTGACTAGAAGGAACTGGAATCTTCATGCCTTCATTGGTCTGTGTCTACAAAACTTTGAATCAACAAATCTTAGCAATTGCTTGTTAGTCAACAAGCATCAAGTCCAGTGGTTCGGACACTTTTTGTTTTGCAATTTGTCTCTTAATGTATATAGGATGACGCCGATACAAATGCGGTACAGCAGCGAACGTATAATTATACAATTTTGTGATCAGTTTATATACACATTTCTCACTAGTACGGGTCCTGATTGCGTTATACGAGGCGCGTCCACAAAGTAAGTTTCCCACTCGTCCCACAGCTAGCAAACCTTATATTGCGCGAAGCGACTGTGCGTACGTGATAGAGCAATGACGTAGCATGGCGCATGCACTAACGGTACTTCCCGCGTTCTCACAGTAGCATCGTTGAAGATGGAGTTTCTTATTCCAGCTCCCGCCGACTGTGAAGTGCGGTCAGTGATAACGCTAGGCCGCACACGGCTCGACGGACAGCAAGTCTCCTGCAGGAGTTCAGCTGGGAGGTGTTTAATCATCCACCCTACAGCCCGGACCTCGCTCCCAGTGATTTCCATCTTTTCCTACACCTCAAGAAATTCCTGTCCGGTCAGCGTCAGCGTCAGCGTTTTGAGAATGACAGAGAGGCGGAGATGGCTGTCACACAGTGGTTCCAATCCCAGGCGGCAGACGTCTACGACACAGGTATTCAAAAGTTGGTCCCACGGTATGACAAATGTCTCAATTCCGGTGGCGAATATGTTGAAAAATAGCTGGACACTTGCTGTATCTGTTGCAATAAATATTTACATGAAATTGTGTTTTGTTTCTGTAAACGGAACCAGGAAAACTTACTTTGAGGACGCGCCTCGTAATAAAATCTTTTGTGATCACGTGCTTTAGTTCTGAGTAGAAGTCCAGTATTTTGGAGACTGTCTTCGTCGCCAAAGCATGATATCAAGTGTACATGCTGTTTATACAGATCCGTTGAGGCTCCGCCTTCTTCAAGAACAGTTGTCACGTAAAGGATGGAAGGATAATGGGTAGAGTCAAGAGTAAACTCATAGCATATAATCTCAAAATTTGAGTTTTTATTACTCTATAGGTCTAACAGATGTTATACAAACACATTTTCTTATATATTTTTATCATGTCTTCATCTTTTGCCTAGTTGGCTTTAGTCCCGCGGGGTACAGGAACTGGCTGAACAAGGCTGCCGAATGGTCCGGCGAATCTTAAAATAGATCACGACCACTTCCCATTTTCAGAATCCGTCCTCTTAGTTTCATTGCGCGTTGCAGTTTCGTCTAAAACTATTTTCTGTTGCACGTACAGTCTGAAGCAAAGTACATGAAACAATATAAAAGTTACTGTATGGTTTTGCATTCTATTTCCATTGAGAATTAAGGGCGCTGAAGTGTTTTTGGGCCTGTTAACACGCCTGGGGAAACATAACGCGTGAGTAACATCTACGTGTGGAAATTTCTTTTTAGGAAGAAATCTGACATGACGTTGATACCATCACTTCTGAATGAGACACCTCCCAGCTCTTTAGATTTATCCAACCGTGCCGTACGTGGGACTGAATTTTACAAGGAACAGCATAAAAAGTTAAAAGAGAAGCAGAATAAACGGCGACCGGAGTGTCCAGTTCGTCTGCCATAGGGATTACAGACTCCTCTGCACTTTAGAGGGTGGAAGGTGCCTAGGGTTACTCACCCCTCCCCCCTTTCGTCCGTTTAGAAACACGGAATTGTACTTCGGATACCCCCAGGAGATGTCACTAGTGATTTCTAGGGCCCAGGATTATACTGTGAGACGATCCTCGCATCCCAGAGGAAGGGAAAGGGATCTTTGGGGCGCTGGAGGAAGACTGCGACCCTAGTTTTAAATTAAAGTGCGGGTTATGGTTGGGTGGGGCTGGTTTTTGGAGGTTTTGTACGTGGTGGGAGACGATAAGGTTTACTCCTCGCGGTCCAAATGTCGTATCTCCTTTTATTGTCCCCTAGACGCCCGCTTCT